ATGCCCAGGCCTGTCCTGGAAGTCCTATGCCTTATCCAGTTGGCCCGGCCGGCCCTGACCTGCCAGCCGTCTCAGTGATACAGTGATGGGGCAGTGCTGTTGCTCCTGTTTTCCCTCAGAGATAGCCCTAGGGGCTAAGGGGCAGTGGCCATTGCTGGTCCCACGAGGTGAATGGGAGGACAGGCTCTGAGAGGGTTTGTGGCTTGCCTAAGGCTGCATAGGTGTGAGACTCCACGTTCAGTGTTCTTCTGCCCTCTCCACCCTGAACCTCTGACACATTCCCTCTGCCCTCCCCAAATGTTACCAGTGCCAGAGGCCTTGGCCTGGGGACTGCATTTGACAGTGGGCCTTGCATCAGGCTGGTGTCCTCAGGGGCCATTGGGATTCACTAGCCCACCCAGGGACTTTTAAGGGCCAGAGAGTGGGGGGCAGCCAACACGTGACCTACTCAGCTGTCTCTGGCATTTTCCAGAGATCTGCTAGACACTCAGTGCCCAAGGATACAGACCTGCATCAGGGTAGGTGCTGGTCCTGAGGGGCTCTCAAGGACAGCACGGGCCACAGACAGCCAGTCTATGCAGTCTTCATCTGCCTTGCCACTCCCCTATCACCAGCAGCTGCAGAGCTCAGGCAGCAGCCACCACTGCCTGGAGCAAACCACTTTTGGCCTTGGAGTCTCAGTTTTCCCATCCATGAGATGGGCCCAATTAAGATAACCCATTTCATGGGGTTATTGCAGAGATAAGATAAGGTGAAGCAAGGAAAGTGCCCAGAGCTGCTCAGATGTGGGGACTCAGGAAACAGCATTGGGTTAGGGGTACATAAGAACATTAGATCTGGGACCTGCCCACAGCCCCTCAGCCCAAGGGGCACATGGCAAGAGCCCTGAGGAGGTGGGCTCTGCACAAGGGGCACTGTGGGAGCAGGGAGCACCCCAGCTTTATCAGGGCCTCAACATGAGGTATGGCAGTCATTCCAGGCAACAAGCAGCCCTTGTCCACCCAGGCAAGTGCAGGAAACCCGAAGATTCCTCTTCTTGCCCACAGTTCCGCACCCACCCACTGGTGGGCTACCTGCTTACCCTGGCCTTACTGGGCTTCAGGGAGTGGTGGCTCAGGACAATGGGCCAGGTCTTGGGGGCTTTGGGGAGCAGGTCAGGACACTGGAAATCATCTCAGAGGTCTCAGGAGCCATCCATGGCATTGAGCCAGCCACTCCCCCAGGCCCAGGCTCTCTGCACTGGGAGCAAGGATTGGTTCCTCTAACTCTAAGCACTCACTTGATCTCAACCCTGAGAAAGAGTGCTGGGGAGCAAGATGGCCCCCAGGAGTGACTATGGAGCCTTCTGCCCATTTCACACCTGGGGCCTGTGGCACGGGGTGGGGTACAAAGCCCCCTGAGCCAGCATCTAGGGCTATAAAATGGAGCAATGACTCCTTCCCGGTGTGAGGATTAAATAAGTAGGTGCCTGCAGCATGCCAGGCACACAGAACCTTGCATTCCACAGGGTGTCTCTTGCTGGACCTTGTGTCGTTTTTGTGACTCTGCCCGGACTACAACTCCCCTCTTGTGCGCCTCCCCCTTGTCTCCATGGCAAGAGACAGGAGGGCTTGGCTCATTAAAACCAAATAAAAAAGGACTTAGCGGGAGTGGCAGGCCGATGAGTAACTAACTGGTGAGTAACTGAGTCTGGGCTGGTGTGGGCAGAACCAGGTGAGAGCCGAACCCCAGCAAAGACCCAGCAAGGGCCTGGGGGAGTCCTGAATCGTGCAGAGCCACCTGGGCACAGCATGCATGCCTGAGGCTTCAGGACAGGATGGTGAGGCTGGGAATCCCCTGGGAAGAGGCTGGCTATCCTAGGCCTCTTGGCCTCCAAGGAAACACCTACCCCTGTCTTTGCTCATGGCTGGACTTCTTGCATCACTGCATGATTGCTCGAATTTTCTAGAACCCTCTGTTGGGTTCCTTGGTCATGACAGCCAAGTCAGCCTTCCCAGAGTCCTCCACCCAGAGTTTACCTGCTGATCAGCTGTTACACTCCAAGGCCCACAGATGGACCAGACACAATCCCTTCTCCCCGAGGGTGCTGCTCACCCCCTGCCCCTGTCTCCTGCCCAAGGCCACGTGCAATATGGGGGACAAGCTGGGAGCAGAATGGCTTCTAAAGACCACTGCCCTTAGCCCCTTCCACAGCTTTTCTGGACTTTGGATCTGTGGCCCTGGTTCAAATCCTGCATCAGCCACTAAACCTGGTTTCACACCCTGTGTGGGCCTCAGTGTCCTCATCTGTAAAATGGGAATGATGTTACAACCTGCCCTGTCCTGCTGTTGCGAGAGTTCTGAGAACCCAGGTGGAGGGTTGGAAGGGTGCCTGGTGCACGGGGACAACACAAGTGTTGGCTGCAATGGTGAGAGCATCCCACAGCTCTATGAGCTGCTGCTAAGGGGTCCTGAGTCTGTCAGCCGAGTGACCACTGCTGATCCCTGTGCCTTACGGATGCCTGGCCACCTGTGCTGGCTCCTGACTCCACGCCTCAGACCCCCCACCTCTCTGGACTGCCTCACCTCCCCGTCTGTGCTCCTGCTGTGCGCTATGCAAGAGTGCTGCCCCTCCAAACAACACACATGCACAACATAGCATGTGCTCCACACACACACACACACACACTTCATACACACACGACACATATGCACACCCACCTACCTCGTACACACACACACACACTGACAGGGAGTTAACTCATACTTCTTGTTAAGACTTCATTTGCTCAAGGTGTCACTTCCTCCAGGGAGCCTTTTCCTTGGCTCCACCCTACAGGGGCAGGTCAGGGCCTCATCTGAGGTCCTCCATGCCTCTGTCACAGAGCTTGTCATTGGAATGGCCACCATCATGGCTGCCATGTAGCCCTACAGTGAGACCTGGGGCTTCCTGGGCAGCCTGTGAGCTGGCCCTGCTGGGCTTGGATGCGTAGGAGAAGGGAGCTCTGTAGCGCTCTTCAGACCCAAGGCTCCCCTCAGAAACTCTTGGCCTGATTTTGACCCTTCGTCCACCCTGCCGTGTCTGGAGCCCCAGCCAGCCTCCAGTAGTAGAGGGATGTGCCTCCAAGAGCGATGCCAGCTGGCCCAGAGCAGCGCCAGGCCTCCATTGTACTGAGAGGCGGTTTCAGGTCTTCTCTGCCCTGCAGAGCCCAGCCGGCAGCCCACAGCCCACGGCCCACAGGTCCTGGGAATGTGCTACTGGGCCTGGCCCAGGAGGGCAGTGGGGCAAGGTGGAGGTGTCCCCAGGAAGGAGGCTGCTGTGTGGAGACCAGGCCCACAAGCCCCCGGGCACTCGGGAGAAGGAGATGCTAGACACAACCTCCCCTCCAGTCTTCTCAAAGGGGGACACTTCTAGCAAGCTTCTGCCCATTCTCCTCTGCCCTGGGCCCCTAAGATGGTGGGGCTACCTCAGTCCTCACCCTGAAGGAAGACACCTTAGAGGGAGAGGAACCCTCAGTTGTGTCTCCCAGAGGAAGATGGACCCCCAAGTGAGCCCCCAGCTGGTTAGTGGGTAAGAAGCCACAAGTCAGCACCTGCCAATAGACCAGACATGCAGTTGGCCTCAATAGATGCTCGCGGAGCAGACCTGACCTGACTCTTGGTGGTTTGCAGTCTATGGGTGACTTCTCAGCGCCAGGCACGGAGGCGGGCCAGTGCAGCGGGTGAAGCATGGGGCTGCACCACAGGGAGGCCTGGGTCTGATCAAGATGGCAATGAAACGCCTCTCTCTGGAGTTAGCGCTGGGTTCTCCAGGCAGCATCTGTGAGCCTGCTCATGGCTTACATAATACCAAGTGCTGGGGACCCAAAGACAACAGGCCCAGTTGTGAGCAAGTCAAGAGGGATCTGAGAGACTGAGGCCAGGACGGAAGTACACAGGCTCACCTGGGGATGTAGAAAATAAAGAAGGAATCAGAGCTAGACCCATCCATCTGAGGGGTTTTAGAACCCATGTGGAGCCAGGAAATCCACCCCCCCCCTCCCCGCCACACACACAGAGGGCTAACCTGGTTGACAGTGTCTCAATCTGGGTCAGATGGGGACTGAGGAAGTCAGGCCACAATCCCTTCTGGCCAGGGATCTGGGAAGGCTGCCTGGAGGAGGAATCACTTGAGCCTGTGTTGGAAGGCCCTCAGGATTAGGCATTGAGAAGGGAATTCTGCCTCAAAGAATAGGAAACCCACGGTGAGGGTGTGTGAGCAGCACCCGGAAGGTTTGAGTCATTGTTCCGGGCAGAGGATGAGGAGAGTGGGCTAGGGAAGTCAGCCAGGCATTGGCGGAGTGGGGGGAGTTTCTTCCCAGCTCAACCATGCGCTTGGCTCTGCTGGTGGAAGGGAGCCAATGAAGGTGCTGGGGGAGTGGGGAAAGCACCCTGCCCAGACTGTACCTGGAAGGACCCAGTTGGTGGCTGTGGGAATTAGGCAGGTCAGCCTGCTGCCCAGGTCCAGATAGCGAGTGGCTCCTGAGCCAGCCAGGGTGTTGGGAAGAGAGGGAGACTCAGAAGCCAAGGCCTGGGAATGGATGGGTGGTAGGTGGTCAGAGAGAGGGAGGCACCCCAGAGTTGGGGTGGCCTTCCAAGCTGTGTGGGATCCCAGCTGGGGGTGGGGAGATCCTTGCTTCCATCCTCATGCACGTGTGGTCCCTGTTCAGTTGCACAGTGTCCTGTCCATGAGGAACGGGTTGGAGCCTCTGGGCCCCCATCGCTCGCTCCTGGGCTGGAGAGAGAGCTGTACCTCTCCAGATTAGGTTCTTGGAAACAGGGAGAGAAGGGGACAATGGTGTCACATCACAGCATGCATTGTGTGCTGGCTGCATGTCCTCGCCACAACCCTAAAGAGTGAGTTCTATCAGCTCAGAGAGGGCAGGGACCAAGCCCAGGGTCACAGGGCAGGTAGACCCCAGTCTGGCACTTTGTGTCTTATGCCTACAGACCTCACCACTGTACTCTGTCTGTCCCCGCAGGGAGCCGTGAGGCCGCCTTCACTTACGCCATCACTGCAGCCGGCGTGGCACATGCGGTCACAGCCGCCTGCAGCCAGGGCAACCTGAGCAACTGTGGCTGTGACCGTGAGAAGCAGGGTTACTACAACCAGGCGGAAGGCTGGAAGTGGGGCGGCTGCTCCGCCGATGTGCGCTATGGTATTGACTTCTCCCGGCGCTTCGTGGACGCCCGTGAGATCAAGAAGAACGCCCGGCGCCTCATGAACCTGCACAATAACGAGGCCGGCAGGAAGGTAGGCGGTGGCCCTGCTGTGGGCCCGGGGCAGGCGCTGGGCACGGCCCCCCCACGGCATCACCTCTGAGTCTCTTACCATGAAAACTGGGGAAGTGGCACCCAGGGCCCTGGGCTCAGCACAGGTTGCAGGGCCAGGATGGGACCCCATTCTCATGCAAATTGTCAGCTGAGCCTGGTTTGGGGACCAGAGAGAGGGCAGAGAGCCAGGCCACAGCCCCACAGCTCTGGCCTGGGTGCTCCTGGTCCAGAGGCCAGCCAGTACCCCAGTAAGGACTTCTCAGAGGAGGGGCCTTTGCTCAGACTGCCCTGGGGACAGGGCAGGGAGAGCCCAGCCTGACCGATGGGAGCTGCAAGCTGGGGGCTCTCAGCGCACAGCTGCCTTGTGCATGGGTGGGATGGAGTGGGGGGCAGTAACAGAGGAAACTCAGGCTGGGACACACTGGGAAAGAAGTCAGGGCAAGCCGACTGCTGCAGGGAGATGAGGGCCCCAGATACTGGGCTGGGAGGAGCGGCTGCTGTGGCGGCAAGATGGCCCGAGATAGGGCGGCTAGCCGAGCGGAACACCTCTCTGGGTCTGGCTCTCCAGCCCTGGGGGCTGCACCCAGGCTAGCAGGGCCCTAGGGGCTTCTTAGACCTGGGACAGACTTGCCTTTCTAGGCAAAGAGGCACTGAAGAATCCCTCTGCCCCAGGGATCATAGCTGAGGACACCTGTCACTCACTCATTCACTCAGCAAGCCCTCCCTGCCCCTGCTCTGTGCCAGCCACTAGGCTGGACACAAGGACAGAGTGGAGTCCAACAAAGCTCTGTCTGTGGGCGCTGGGTCATTTGAGAGGTGTGGGAGCCTGGGGGATGGTGCAGCAGCTTCCTGGAGGAGGTGACATTAGAATGGAGCCTTGAAGGACATGCAGCACAGAGGCAAATAGCTGGCACTGTGGGAGCTGCAGTCATTCCACCTGGTGGGAGATGGAGGGGGTGGGTGAGGGTGAGTCAGGCTTGGGATGTAAGCAGGGGCTGGCACGGAACAGGCTGTGACCAGGAGAGGGTTTGACTGATCTGAAGGTGTCCTATGCAGGGGGTTGCTAGGTTATTGCCACACGAAAGAATGGATGAACCCATGAGAAAGGAGTGGAGGTCTGGCCTCCAAGAAGCTCACAGACAGCTGTGCACATCTCCAGGCACAGGCCAATGGCATGGTACATGGTAGAGGCTCACCTGCCCTAGAAAGACAGAGGAGCAGGTGGCTCGTCTACCTGGGGACAGCTCAAGGGCCCCCTGGAGGGGGACATGAGGCTCAACTACCTACTTTGATTTCTTCAGGGGCTTCTTTCCGATCAGGGGCTTCCCCAGGAGGAAGAGCTCACTGTCCCCATTTCATAGATAAGAACGATGAGGCCCAGGGCAAGAAGCAAGCTGGCCAAGTGGCTCACTGCTCAGGAGTACGGGTGAACAGCAGAGATGTGGAACAGGCACTCCAGGCAGAAGGCTCGGCTCGGGCCACAGTGTTCAGGACAATGGTGTGAGGGCCAGGCAGGAGTCTAGGCAGGTTAGATGGATTGCATGATGAAGGCCATGGTGACCAGGCTGGATCTTGGCCTCCAGGTCACAGTTGCTACTGCAGGTGCCTGGGGCAGGGTGCAGGGACCAACTCCAGGTCATATCTGATTCTGCTCTGGAGTCCCATGGGAACCCCAGGACTGCCCTGGTACTTAGGGCATTTGGTGACTTACATGTGCTAAAAAGGGACAAGGGACATTGAGGCAGGCAGGACTGGCTACAGGAGAGACAGGAAGCAGGAGGACAGGAGACTGTCAGTGGGGCCAGGGATAGAGAAGGAAAATGGTGAGCCCTGGCAGCTGCTTGGGTGAGAAGAGGGCCAAGGAACAGCCCAGGTATCAGGGCTTTGAAGAGGGGAAAGCAGAAAACAGAGATGGAGGACGAATGTGGGGAAGAGCGTGGGCAGACAGGGGGCTGGTTGGGGATGTGACAGCCATAGAAAAAGGCTTGAAAGTAGTCAGTGGCCTCAATTCTCATACACCTGTGTTCCTGACTGCCTGGAAGTCAGCCCTGTCCCTCTGCTGAGCCCCAGTTTCCTATCTGCACAACAGGTGATACACACTGTGCTCTTCTTCTCCTGTCCCTGCCCCCGTGCAACTGTGTAGCACAAGTGTGGCCCTTGGAGAAGTCAGGTGTAGTGGCTTTATGTAGCCCTCAGGGAGTTTTCTCCCAGCACAGTGCTTACCGTGTTGGGGGGAAGGTCAAATTTGCCTAAGGCCTGAGTCTAGACATTCAAAGCACCCCAGTGGCTGGGCCTGGTCCCCGTTGTGATCCATCCAGGGGGTGAGGCAGGTCAGGCAGGAAGCAAGCTAAGGCATAGCATACCGGGCGAGTGAAAGCCATACACGCACACGCACACACACGTTCTCTCACAGTTCTTGAAACCAGGTGTCTGAGGTCAAGGTGTGGCCAGGGCCACACTCACTTCAGAGGCTCCAGGGCAGGGATCTTCCTGTCTTGTCCAGCTTCTGATGGTTCCTTGGCTGGTGGCTGCATCACGCCAGCCTCTGCCTCTGCCTCTGTGTGGCCTCGCTCGGAGCTCTGTCTTCCCTTATGCCTGTCTCTCATGAGGACTCTCACTGGACTTAAGATCCACTCTATTCCAGGGCATTGCACCTCCATACTTACCTTAATTCTGTTTCCAGTGCCATCACCTTTCCGGTTCCCAGTGGGCATGAGTTGTGGGAGGGCTGTTACAGCCCACACTGGCCATACACCTTGGATTCCACAGATCCAACTCCCCTTAGGCTTCTACAGCTCAGCTCTGGCTACCTCCCCCCAGATCCCCTCATGGACAGTGGTTGCCTTTAGTGGGTGGTACACAGTGCCCAGGCAGGAAGAGCCCTTGGACCATCCCCTGCCTGCTACACAGGCAGATGTGAATGGTGCCCAGTTGTAGCTCTGCCCCAGCGTGGTCCCTGCTGTGGTGTGTAGAGACGAAGCTATAGGAGGGTGGAAGTTGTGGTTTCTTCCCTCCACACTGACCAGGTGAAGATGGGAGTCTGGGGACCAAGCTCAGGACAGCACTGTCCTCACTTTGGTACCACGAGGCTGCAAGCTATTGCTGACAAGTAAGGATGGAAATCTGAGGTCCAGGGAGGGGTGGCTCACACAGAGTCCAGAGCTGGGCTACTGTTCCCCAGACCAGTGGAACCCACAGCCCACACTGTGGGCCAGAGGTCAGAGAGTGAAATAGACAAGGGCCCTGTCCCATCTGTGGAGAGGTCAGGCCACCCTGTAGGATTGGGAAGCAAAGGGGAGCCACAGAAAAGCCGCCCCACTTGGGCAGGCTCTTTCTGAGTGTGTGTATGTGAGGCTTCCATGCACCAGAGCCTGACAAGCTGGGGTATCAGGACACCAGGCTTCCCAGGGCTAGCCAGCCTTCCCCCGAAGGACTTCCCCCAGCCAGGCTGAGACGGATCCCTAGCGCAGGCCACACCCTCCTCTGGAAAGGACACCAGATCTGCCCTTTCCTGGAGCCCCCCCAGTCACCCTCCCTCCCAGAAGGGAAACCAGGCCTTGGAGCAGCCCAGCCTCAGCCTTCTGTTCCTCAGGCAAAGCCAGCCCCCTCTGCACCCCCCAGGTGGTCTCCTGGGCATAGAGCCTGGCCTCAGTACCCTGAGGTTCTGACTGCTGCTGGCGCCATGGTCACTGTCACTCTGTTGGTGAGGGTGCTGGAGAAGGAAACGGCACATTCTTGAATCCTGTGATCACTTCCCGGAGACGCTCAGGCCCAGGGGACCCAGCCAAGCGAGGACTCAGCCCCTCGCTCTGCAAACACCTGCCCAATCAGCTTCACCTGCCACTGTCACTGGCTGGGCTGCACGGGGTCTGACATCCCCAGGCAGCAGGAGGTGGGGCCAGGCTGCAGAGACTTGATAAAGAGCAGGAGATAGAGGCTGGAAGAGGGGAGGAGGAAGGGGGCCCAGGGGTGGGGCAGAGCAAGGTCAGGAGGCAGCTGTCCAGCAGGCCACAAGGGGACACTAGATGGCAATTAGAGCCTCATTGTGTGGCCTGCACAACCTCTACCTGGACACCCCTTCAGGTCTCAGTCTACCTGAGGAGGGTCAGCAGCCTAGGGTAAAGTGAGTTGCTCCTGCCTGGGAACTGGAAAGAGCCCCACTCTGGCAGCTTCTGGGACAGCACCTGGCCTGAAGGGACATCCTCTTGGCAGGCAGGTGGCCAGGATGGGGAAGCTCTCAGGCTGGGTGGAGGTTAGCAGAGGGAAGGGACAGATCTAAGCAAAGCTGACCATGGAGCCGGGTGGAGGTAGGAGGGCAGGAGAGGACTGCTGAGATGGACAGGCTGGGGACGCAGGGAGGAAGCCTCAAGCATGCTTTCCCCTGGGGCCACCCTCCACCAGACTCCAGGCCTCTCTGGCCCATGCCCTCCACCCAGATGCCCCTTGGCCCAGGCACAGAGTCCACTTCTGGATATTCCCCAAACCTACTTCCCTCTCCTCCTATAGAACACCTTGGTCCCTCCCACCTCAGCCTTTCCCTGGTAGAGCATGGACCTCAGCCTCCGCCCTTCCTCAGCCTCTCTAGTCCTTGCCCCTGGCATTCACGCAGTACTAAGAGCACTAGCTGCAGGACCCACCCAGCCCCTACCTGAGACGAATATAGCTCATCTCTCCCTCCATGCTCCATAGCTGATAGCTTTCCAGACCTTTGCTCATTTTGAGACCTCCTGGAACACCCTCCTCTTCATCCATTAAGACCCACCGAAGGATCACCTACTCCACCAGGCGCCATCACTCCAGCAGGGTCATGGACTCCCATAGTCCTTGCATCTTGCACGTCTGTCTCCCCACACTGCACTGTGAGCTCTAGAGGTCGTCTCTGGGGTCTAGGGAAGGTGCTCAGGGCAGTTGTCATCTCTGTGGGATTCTTTCTCCCTCTTTTCCTTTTACTCATTCATTTGTTCGTTCATTCATTCATTCATTTGCTGAAGGACTTCTTGTGTGCAGCTGAGCCGAAAGCCAACAGCAGGTGCCCCTTGCCAGTGCGTTCCAACCTGGGGTATGACTTGGCTAAGCCCCTGCAAGGCTGGGCTGCTGAGGAGACGCTAGGGAAGCCCAGACAGCTGACAAATGGCCCCTCGGAAGCCATGGGGCGGCAGCTAATGATTCTCCATCTTTAATCAGGCCCGGCTGGCAGAGTCCTTTCGATCCGGGTAAATGAGTACCTGGGGTCAGGGCTGGCTCTGGGAACTGGCCTTCCGGGACCATGGAGGGAGGCCCAAGGGAAACACAGGGCTGCACCCATTGAGGGCTCTCGTGCAGCTGAGGAGAAAGATCAACAAGGGACTGGGCTCGGCCATCAACTTCCCAGAGGATGGCACGACTGGGCCTCGCTGACCCATGCCCTCGCTTCCCTGCCTTAGTCACGGGCACGCCAGTCTGTCATTAAGCAGCAGGCTGTTTGGCTCCTACTGCATGTGAGGACTTACACTGGGCCTGGGGGCAGGAATGGGAGAAGTGGAGGGCTGGGAGGATTCACACTTATTAAGCACCTACTGTTGTTTGGCCTCCCCGCACCAGCTGCTACCTGTTACCCTGCATGTGCCACACTCCCAAACCTCAGTTTCCCTATCAGTGTGTTGATGATAGTGTAAAACCCTCACATGACCGTTGTGAGTATGGAAAGAAATTCACTTGACAAATGCCCAAGTTTGGCTGAATCCTATGCGTGGGGACCTGTTCTTAACAGCCCATTTATCAGATGAGGGGGCTGGAGCTCAGAGAGGGGGAGACTTTTGTCTGTGGTCACGCAGCAGAAGCAGAGGAGTCTGCTCCAGGATGGGGCTGGAGATGGGGCGGGGGACACAGGGAAGCCTGCCTGGCACCCAGCCCTGGCCACACTCCCACTGAGCCTCTGCTGTGTCACCCACAGGTTCTGGAGGACCGCATGAAGCTGGAGTGTAAGTGTCATGGTGTGTCAGGCTCCTGTACCACCAAGACCTGCTGGACCACGCTGCCGAAGTTCCGGGAGGTGGGCCACCTGCTCAAGGAGAAGTACAACGCGGCCGTGCAGGTGGAGGTGGTGCGCGCCAGCCGCCTGAGGCAGCCTACCTTCCTGCGCATCAAGCAGCTGCGCAGCTACCAGAAGCCCATGGAGACGGACCTGGTGTACATCGAGAAGTCGCCCAACTACTGTGAGGAGGATGCAGCCACAGGCAGCGTGGGCACACAAGGCCGCCTGTGCAACCGCACGTCACCGGGCGCTGACGGCTGTGACACCATGTGCTGTGGCCGTGGCTACAACACGCATCAGTACACCAAGGTCTGGCAGTGCAACTGCAAGTTCCACTGGTGCTGCTTCGTCAAGTGCAACACCTGCAGTGAGCGCACAGAGGTCTTCACCTGCAAGTGAGCGCCCTGCCCGCCCGCACCGTGGCGATTTGCACATGCTCCCCTGCTCCACCGCTGCCAGCTGCGGGCAGAGGTGGGTGGAGGAGGTGAGAGCCCCTGGTGCAGCCAGTGCCTGCATCCGCTCCCCAGGTCCCGGGGCTCCTTCCCCACCTCTGCTGTCACCTCCCGTGGCAGAGCCACATCCACGACCCACTCAGAGTCCAAGGCCAATGGCCTGGTGCCCCAGCAGAGACCGGCAAATTCCTTTTCTCTTCTTGGGAAAAGTGAACATATCCCAGAGGACAAAGTGACAAGGCTCTGAGGGTCCCCTTCCCCATGCCGGCCAGTCACATTCAAGACTGTTTCCCTGGTCGAGTTTTCCACTGGGCCCTGGGGCAGTGTGGACATTCACAAGATTATTTATGTTTTCTTAGCATCAGAAGAGGGTTCTCGGCACTAACAAACGAGTAGCCAGTCCTAACTCTGTAGTCCGTGTCTGCTGACCCCCCTGGACCCCTCTCAGCACCTCTCCCAGCCCCGTACTCCATAGGCCCTCTGCCCCCTGAAGAGTCATGGTGCCAAGGTTAGCAGGGAGGCTGGCCATGCATATGGGTCCCAGAAGTAAGCTTGACGGGGGCTCAGAGGGTCCACAGGGTCCGGACAGGGCCTTGGAGGACAACCCATCTTCCCTTCTTTTTGGAAATCATGTCAAGCAAATCAAATGTCATCCATGCCAGGTTCCAGCGTGCCTCATTCTCTTCCTAATCCTTCACCCTCCCAGCCGGCACCTCCAGTTTACAGAGCCCCTCCCACCCTACAGCCAGTCTGACTCCGGGACAGCATGGCTGGGCAGGTGGGGCCAGGGAGTGGTAAGGGATGTTTACCCCACTTGACAGATGGGCACAGAGAGGCCCAAGGATTTGCCAGAGATGGCTGAGTGGACCCTACCGCTTTAGTTCCTACCCGGCTTGCCCTGGAACACTCAGGGTGGCACGACACAGTCTCTGGCCACCCCTTCTTCAACCTCTTGATGGCCACACCCCCCTGTGTGACTTCGCAGGTTTCCCAGCCCCATCTGGTCCTTCCACCTTCTCCCTGATGCTGAGAAAACCACTCCAGGGCTCAGGCTGCTAAGGGCTCTCTGTCTGCTGTCAGCGGACCCCCTTCCAGGGTCCCCACACCATGGGGTCGTCCCTGAAGTTCTACTTACCTCCTCAGAGGCCTCGTAGAAGGGGATTTAGGGATCCGACTGGGGTGGAATGGGAGGCCTGGGTTCAGGCATGTCCTCCCCCTGGAAACACACAGGGAAGACTTGCCCAGGGCCAGATAACATGGCTGGTCACGGCTTTGGTCACTGCCCACTGCCCTCCCCCCCTTAGGGTGTTTTCTCATTAGAAGCCATGGAAATGTGTTGTGGGCAGCCAACAAGCCAGGTGGCTTAGACATTAGCCTGGAGAAGGTGACTCCTGTCTGGGCCCCTACCCTGCATCCAGCCCACGCTCTGAGCCTCTGGAAATGCCCCACCCCCAACCTGGTCCCGTCTCTTCACCCCCAAGTCCCAGGACACCCCACGTCCACAGCCCATGTCCTCCACCCAAGGAACCTGGTTAACTTATATTGTTATATAACGTCCAAATGTCTATAGTGTCTTTTAAGTTATTGTGACCTACACTGGGTACTGGAGGGGAAGGGGGATGGTTGCAGTCACCATCCCCTGAGCCAGGCTCCTCCTTCTGCTTGAAATGGACCCTCGGGGCCAGAAGCCACCGAGGCAACTCGCACTGTCCCTGGGCTGCCAGGCGCCCGCCCCCACCTACTCTCCCTCATAGTTGGTCAGCAACGGCCCTTCTCTTGGGGGGAAGAGGTGGTCAGTAAGGCCCAGGTGGGGCCCTGGCCGTATGCAGGGGCGGTGGTGGCCGGGCACTGCATGTCCTTGAAGTACCCCACTTCTGATGGGCTTGTTGCAGGCCTCCCCTGGAGGGGAGTGCTTGGCCCTCAATAAAAGCTGGAATCAGAAAAACAAATGTGCGTGGTTGCCCCATGCGACACCCCACAACTCTTACCCCAGTGGTGGTTACACACATTGTCCCCCCGATAGGCCCTCAGCCCTTCCTACTTCTTCACCCCCCTGTGGGCTGACAGAACTCCTCTCTCCTACCCCAACACCTGAGACTCTTGGCCAGGCCCCAGCTGGGGACATCATGCCTACCTGCTCTGGCACCAGCAAGGATCACTGGTGGGGGTGGCATAGACCCTGAGGCCTCCCTGAATACCATGAGTCACAGGTCAGGGCTGGGCAGAGGCTGCTTTCAGAAGGAGGGGGCAGGATGACCTCAGAAGGTTCCCCTTCTCACCCCAGGTGGGATCTGGGCCTGGGGACTGTGGCTCTATCCTATTGTCTGATGGATTTGGGTTCAAGAGCCCCCAGGGACCTCTTTGGGAAGGCAGCCTGGGTTCCTTAAGGGCTCGGCAACTCCCGGCTGCCCATCAGGCCTGTGCCTCTCCCCAGAGGCCCAGCCTGCAGACTGTGGTAACTGTGCACTGCCCGTGATGAATGGCGTTTTTGCCGAGGGCCGGAAAGCATGTGGCGGGGCCGGTTTGGCCACTGCCCGCTGTCCCCGGCAGCCTGGCATCGGGCAGAACCATTGATCAAACAGCCCGGTCCCCTCTGTGCCCAACTGGGCACCTACAGAACATAGCCCCAGACCCCTGGAGGGACCTCCAAGTGGGCTTTTCCAAGGGACACACCCCCTCCAGAGATAGGTAGGAAAGTGCACCGAACCCATTTCCAGCCCTGTTCCTTCCTGATATGTGGGTGAGCCTCCCCAGTGCATGGCCCCAGTCTCCCCATCTGGGAACAGGAGGTAGCCTAAGGGTAGGACATGGTGGCTGGTGGGCCCATGATGCTGGCATGCAGGGAGCAGGCCAGGGCTGGGCAGTTTGGCAAGAGGCCCTGGTTCCCCACAAGACAGTAAGCAAATCCTCGGTGGCGGCGGCTGTGGAACGCGGGGTCCGGCTACTCCCACAGGGCCAGGAATGAGGAAAGAGCTCTGAGAATGCCCCGGTCCTGGTGCCCAGACTGTACTTATTTCTTGGCCACAGTTCAACCCCAGCCCTGGCCTCCCAGGGCTGCCGTGCACATCCTCAGGGGGCCCTGCCCAAGGTGTGAAGTCTGGATTGCCCAGCCTGGCCCAAGGCCCAGCTGACCCCAACCCCAGATCCCACCTTAAGGCAAATATTTAGAGAGTATTTTCCCAGACCATCCCAGGCTCCGCCCCCTTCACCCACACCTAAAGTGGCTCGTCCCCCAAGAAAAGCCCCTGCACCCCTCGGGTTTGGCCAACTCTGTACTGTGCTGGTTGCTGTACATTCGTGGGGCCTTCCTGCTTTTTTTAGTCTCCCAGGTGCTCCCTTCCCAGACTGGCCTGCCCTCTGTACTCCAAGAGCACAGAGCCTTCTGGGCACAGGGAGTCAGGTGCACTTCACAGGTGGGACTTGGGGCACTATAGCCGGGAACATGTGGAGTTGTGGGAACAGCTGACACCCCACCCAACTCAGCTACCTGATTCTTTCTTCATGAAACCCCGCCCCTAGGCCCTGTACCCCATTCCCTCCCACCTCCCTGTGTGTGCACTCAGCTGCCCACGTAGGAGATGAAAACCACAAAGAGGCAGCCTGCAGGGAGGGGAGGGCTCTGAAAGACTCCTCCATACCTTGAGCCGTGGCTTCCCTCTCTGTAGAATGGGCAGAAGAACAAGGAATCTTTCCTAGCATCCCCTGGACTCCCACCCCTGTCCACATGTGCTCCCAGGTTGTTAGCATCAGGGGCTCTTACACTGCCCCTACAGACCTGTCCCCCAACTGCTGCCTGGTAGCACCCTCCTGGTGGGGCCCTGCTGGACACCGGAGTGTCTCCTTGGAGTGGCCTCTGGAGTCCTTCCCAATCCTCTGCCATGCCTCCCACAGTCCACTTCACCCTGTCCTCAGCAGGCCACCCTTCCCCAGGACTGCCCACATATCCCCCCTCCCTGCTTTTGCTCCATCTGTGCCCTCTTTCCCATATACACAGCGGTACTTCCCACAACACCTGCCCTCTTTAACAGGACCCCCTCTGGGTGGGGGTCCTGTTTCTGTGACTGCCTCACCCCCATGCGGACTGACTTCTCAGAGGCAAGGAGCTCTGTGGAATACTGAGCACAGCTGCCATCCCAGGCCTCAGGTGGTGTACAGCTATCCAAGACCTTCACAGCATCCCTTCCTGACTATGTCAGTGTGAGCGTCCTTTTACAGATGGAAAAACAGACCCAGAGAATACGGACAGCTGCCCAAGGTCACACAGTTAGCGAGATGCAGAACCAGGATTTGAACCCAGGTCCTCTGAGATCTTCCTTCTACCTAGTTCATTCTCCCACCTGGGGAAACTGAGGCCTAGGGACCTTGTCCAAAGCCACACAGAAATGAGTGGGAAGGGCGCTATTTAGGTGGGTCTTAGAGAAGACATGACAAGCAAAACTCCCCAAGGACAGAACAAGAAAGAAGCAACAGGCAAGATCTGGGTTAGACATTGGGGTGAACTGGAGGGGCATCTAGAGGGAGGTGCTGTGGACCACCGTCTTCTTGGTGTCCTGTGTGGATAGGACTGTGGTCTGAGACACCACAGTTTGTGGAGGGAGGGGAGAAAGATGAGTGAAAGTGGAGTCCCCGGGTGCCCAGAACAGGAAATCATGACTCCTCTGAGTGTGAGCAGTGGTGTCCACTCAGGAGCCCCTGAGCCTGGGATTAGGGTGCTGTTGCTCCCCACCACTGAGAGCCAGGGAACTCAGCTGTCAGTGGGGCTCTCCTTCTGCCCATTCCCCTCTGGGATTGCACCTGCCTATTCATCAGGTCCTTGAACCTGAAGGACTGAAAAGCCACCAGCCTGGCACCCCAGGACAGAACCTGTGAGTCCTGGAGCCTAGGGAATAGCAGGCTTGGCACAACAGCAGTGCCCAGGAGAGGCCTGTGGGGGCAGATGGACAGGTGGGCATTTAGCCTGCAGGCAGAGGCAATGTCAAGGGGCCCCCTGGGGCCTGCAGCCTGCCCTGAGCAGGTGGTGTTCCCAGGCCTGGGCTGAGCACATCCATTAAGCCGCAAGCATACCTCTTGCTGAAAGCCCCCACCCTACATCAGGACCCACACAGGTTGCGCCGGGGAGG